ACTCCAGTTATTGGAGGAAAACAAAGTTCAATTGGCTTAAAGCCTATTTAAAGGATTGGGACTTTTTTATGTTAGTAGCTGATATTGCATTATTGACCACAAAAAAACGTGGCATTCCCCAAGGATCCATCTTAGTGTTGTTATCGACATTCTCCCCCTAGCTCAGATTATTCTGAACAACAGTATAGGTTCTCATTGTACAGATGACACACAACTATACATTAAGATGTCACTAAGAGATTAAGCCATTCAAGCTCTGGGTAAAGGCAAAGAAGAAATCAACATATGGACGTGCCAAAATTTTCTTCAGCTGAATCAAAATAAAACGGAAGTAATCTTTTTGGACAAAAAGAAGAGATAGCACACAGCTTCAGTTATTAAAAAAATAGAAACCTATAAAGATCAGTCATCCTTCTATCACCTAAAGAACATCTACAAGGTTAAAGGACTAATGTCTCAGCAGGACCTTGAAAAACTCATTCATTTGTTTATCTTCAGTAGAACTGATTATGTCTTCACAGGTCTGCATTAAAAGATGATCAAACAGATGCAGTTAATCCAGAATGTTACTGCCCCCGTCCTCACTAAAACTAAGAAAGTGGAGCACATCTTAACAGCCAGTTTTAACATTGTTCGCTAGGTCTCTGTCTGTCAGAGAATAGACTTGGAAATACTTCTGTTAGTCTTTAAATCACTGAACGACTTAGCACCAAAATACATCCCAAACTTCCTGTCAGTGTATCAACCACACAGACCTCTCAAATCTTCTGGCTTAAGTTAACTCTGCATACCAAGAACCAAACAAAGAGAAGCAGCATTTATGCTCCACTAATTTGGAATAAACTTCAAAAAACTCTAAAAGCATTGAACCCCCTAATTACTTTAAATTGTCTTGCTACTAAAATATGTTATATAAATAAACCTGCCTTGCCTTTATAAAACTACAAACATGAAATGTGTCTGGAAAAACACAGTTTTAATGTGCCATTTATTTTGAAGGCAGGTACTTCCTGTATTCCTGATAAATGAAGTTAGCTTTAAGGGATTAGGATCTGTGCTGTGTTGTCAAAAGTGCCCATTTCCAGTTGAAAGGGAATAAAAACAAATAAAACCTGCTTTTTCTTCACTATGTATTACATATTTTATTAAACAATAAGCATTTATTAATTACATTTATATTTGAGAGATGTGATTTCAGCTTATGACACAAAACTTATAATCACCAAGATAATAAGTATGAATCAAACAATTTTATTCAACGATCTCCATGAGGCAGAAATTCTAAATATGGGAATCCACTGTAAAATGAAAGATTCATTAAATATATATATATATATATATATATTTATTAATTTTTTTTCAAGCTGTCCAAGATTTTTTTAATGAAGTAAAATAAATAATGATTACTGTAGCTTCCTCCATTCTCTTGAACTCCAAAAGATGTTTTTAATGTTTTTTGTCAACCAATTTGTGCTTGTGCAAACTAGACAATTAGCTAAGATGCATTCACTGATCATGAATAATGATTTTTTTTTTATATGCCTCCAAAGCCTAAAATTGACTGTTTCTGGTAACCTGAAAGGAATTTGGAGGCTCCATCGTTTGATTATTTGTTTTTGCTCCTTTAGTTACTAAAACCAGAGGAAGGCAGCACCTCCACTCAGCGCTATATCGATTCTCGGACCGTCCAGCTGCGAGCTAAAGGAGCCTGGCTCTCAATGGATGTCACAGAAACTATTAAAGACTGGGTGTCAGATCCAGGTTAGTTGAATCCCATTGATAATCAAGACATCTTTTTTGTTCATCATCATGAATTGTTCTCTTGTGTTGTTCTTCAGAAAAAAATCTTGGCCTTAAGCTCGGCATACACTGTCCATGCTGCACCTTTGTCCCATCCACGAACAACATCGTCCCCAACAAGAGCGAGGAGCTGGAGGCGCTGTTTGCTGGTTCGTTTCCATCTCTTGGTCTCTTCAGATTAAACATGCCTGATGAGGTGGCCCACCAGCCTTTGCTAGTCTGCAAACAGTTTGAATAGACTGGCTGGTCATGCATGGCTACCCATTATTTGTGTTGAATGTGGATTTGAAAATAAACTGTTTGGAGAACTACAGTACAACCAGAAGTCCAAATTAAACCTCTGTTGCATTGATTTGGTAAAGAGAAACCCAGCCTTGCAGATTTATTATGATGCCATCCATGCTGCAGGTCATTAGCTGTGAACTCAAAGAAGAAATCTTATGTAAGACGCTTTAAAAAGGATCCATGAATCACGAGCATGCTATCTCATAGAAATAAAGGCGGAACTGTTTCTTTGCACACTGAGATACTGTTTAATACCAGACTGTCTGTGTTGCCTCATGTAGGCCCTGAAATTATAGCACTGTGAGGATTTGCACTCAGCTCTGCCAAGTCCGACTTTTTTTTTTTTGTATACTTGGGAGGTGGGGGTGCAATTTGTGATTCATGCAAGACTAGCAGGGGCTTGTGTTTGTGCTTCTGTGGTTCAATAAGAGACAGAAAGATTACGAAATTAGACAAACCATCAGGCCATCGGTGCTATTTTCAGTTTTTCATCCAAACATCTGTATCACATTCCTTTATGCTCCATTTACTACTTAACGAATGTCAAAACCTGTAAAAAAAATACACATTTCTGCAGTGCTCCTGAGAAAGAAAGTCATCAAGGAAATAGAAACACAGCTGTGGCACTTGGTCTGCATACAAGAACACTTAACTTTTAGATGTTATCATTTTTGAAAACAGCTTTTAACTTTGTACAGTTTTTACTGTAAGTGCTTAAAGTGAACCCAGTCACGAATTGCACATAGCTTCAAGCGTTTTAATTCATCCAGTTTATATGAACAGAGGGAAACACAATTCTGTATTTTCTTAGGGTCTAGGATTATTGTGGCAAAGATTTACATTTAATAAAGGGTAAGAACATACCGGTAAGTGAAAAGCCTCTTGAGCACCAAGCAACACACCAATGTGTTTATCAAAAAAATTTAGATTAAGAGAAAAAAGCAGAAAGCTTAAACTAAACTAGGCATATCTACATAGTTTACATCACTAAAAAGAATCAACAGGTGAAATGTATTTGACAAAAAATGGCAAGGCCAAGAACAAAAAGAAAAAGATCAAAGGATTTGATGCATTTGAAATAGAAATCATCGCATTTAAAGAAATCTGAATATAGGTTCCATGTGTTATTGCACTCTGCTCCTCCCTTTTCATCATACAATCTCCTTATACTACATGTTCGAAATTTCCCCCATCCATGGAGCACGTTCAGGCACAGAGTCCAGTTTCCACATTCATGGATCACCATCCAAAAAGGAAAAGCTATCTTCTCACACTTGTTAGTTAGAAGAAGATCCCTAGTAGCCTTGCAATGAGAGGGTTGGGTAGCACAGTTTTGCCAAAAGCGATAGAAAAACAATGAGAAAAGTTTTCCAACAATCCGAAATTTAATTACAAAACCAGAAGGAATGTGCAAAATCCCTATTCATAGCTTTACTATGGTTACATAGTGAGGAAACATGAGGATAAAACTTAGGCAGATTCTACTTCGAAAAATAGAGCCTGTGTACAATTTCATTTTTGAAAAAAGCTATGCTTCATATTTACTGAACTATTTTGAATACTTTCTAAACAGTAATACAAGGATTCATCACACTGTTAAGCTCGTCTGTCCAGGATTGTTTGTATATCCATCCGTAAAGCATAATTTTTTAATGATTGGGTAGAACAAAGCGGCAGAGATGCGAGTGACTGGGTTTAACTTTTATGTTTAGTTAGAATTTCAGAATTTTTTTAATGTTTTTTTAATTAAAATATTTCATTTGAACCCAGAGTTCCTCATAAAACAGCACATTGCCTGGCATGAAAAAAAAACAAACTAGTTAGGTCGCAAAGGTAGTATGCTGTAGGAATGCTTTTCTTCACTGGGACAAGGAATAAAGGTCAGGAGTTTAATCCTAAAACGGGGAGAGGTGAATTACCAAGCTGGAGGAAATTGCCAAAATGGCCCAGTCAAAGTACAGACCCCAAATCTGAAAATCTTTGGTTAGACTCCAAAATTGGTTTTCACAGAAAGTCCTTATTCAATCTGATTGAATCTTAGTAAAAAAAATTTGGGCTGCATTCGGAGGGAAAAGTAGTTCCATAAAACACAGACTGATAGGAGTTAAAAACAATTTTTCAGATTAATATCCAGAAAAAACTCTGTATATCTTTTTTGTATTGGTATGTCCTATAAAATCAAAAATAAAAACATTTTGTAGTTTAAAAAAAGGAAAAGTTTGAAATGTGTTTTGTTTAGAAAGCAATGGAGAGAGGGGAAAATAGTTTTTCTTATCTTAGAGGAGAAGAGAATTATGTTCCCTGACTGTGTCATCCCTCTTGGCAGGTGTTGATGACGACCAGCTTCGTAAGCTGAGGAAGCCAGGCCAAGTCAAAGGCCAGGCAGATTTCAGCACCAAGACCCCACACCTCATCCTCACCCTGCTGCCCAGTGACAGAGTTGACAACCCTTCAAGGAAGAACCGTAAGCGGAGGGCGGCGGCCACAGAAACCACCACCTGCTCCCGGTAGGCCTGCTGTCGATCGCTTGTATGCGGCTCCCTCTCACTGACTGACAGCCCCGACACTCTTCTGACGGCCTGTAGTTTAGGGATTTTGAAGTATAGCTGTGGTTTGTGCTGTATTTTATTTATTTATTTTTTTCTCTTCCTGACCCATTTTGGTGAATATTGTGCGGCAGACCAAACCTGACCCTGTGTTTAGAGAGCAAGTTGTTGGGGTGCTGCGTTTTATTTAGACTAGCTCCTGTTGCAGGGGAAAACTCTGGCAGCTCTGCATGCTCATTACATTGTGATGGCTGGTTCTTCAGCAGGAACCTGTTGTGATTTTCCCATGACCTAGCTTTGGGTTGCTGCCTCAGACACTGCAGAACAGGACGGAAAGCTGAAAAGTCACTTTGTGTGTCTGCTTTTGTGTTTCCCAGGGGGTCGGATCAGGGTTGCTGCCTGCGCTCGCTCTACATTGACTTCAGACGGGACCTTAACTGGAAGTGGATCCACGAGCCAAGAGGTTATAAAGCCAATTTCTGTGCCGGTACCTGTCCTTACCTCTGGAGCGCCAACAACCACTACAACATGGTGAGTTTCAGGGATCACACTAACATATAAAACAATCTTATCCATCTGTGGACAATATTTGCTTGTGATTACTTAAATATATCATTCAGTTTATTTTTTATTTTTTTTTATTACTGAAATATAACTCAAAATGAACTATTTTTATAGCCCCATTAAAAATGTATATTTGCTCTCTAAGTATCTGACTGTAAAGGTCTATAGAACCCAGTGGACGACATAAACAGTGCAAAAAGTAAAAAGAATAAATGAATTGTGGCTGAGTTGGTTTAATTAATTAAATACATAATTCAATTTCAATGTATTCAGTTAGATTAAAAAAAAATATGTTGGAACATTCCCCATGTGCATGTACTCTCTGCTTCCTCCATAATAATAACTGGTTTATGATTGGTCAGTCTGAATTCTCCTTAGGAATGAGTGTGGTTAAACGGTTGTTTCTCCTGTGTGTCCATCTGTTAACCTGTGATGGACTAGTGACCTGTTCAGGGAGTAGAAGAGATTAGAATACGGATTGATGGATTGATTGAAATAAACTATGTTTATTTCGATGGATGCCTGATGCAGGCTCGGTTAAAGGGTCAACAACATCTAAGTAGCAAGAATACAAATGTTTTCTATTGAACATTTTCTTATTGGATCAAAATGCAGGCAGGAAAAGAGACAGAGATGTGAAGTAAAGATTCTTCAATAATAAAAATTGAAAACACCAGTAAGATCACACAAAACCATCCTAGGGGAACAATACTCACAGTATGGGCAAAGAGTTTAGCAATGTTACACTGATGTTTCTCAGGTGTTTTTCAAGGAATGCTTTGCTTATTTCTCAAATCCCTTTTTGCACATAATAAAACCAGTTGTCCCTGTTGTAAAAGACTCCAGCTGGTTTTATAATCTGTCTGCGGTTCTGACATGTCGACCACCGAACACATTTGGCTTCTTACTTGATCTGTTCAACAGCTGAAATCATATATCAAAAAATGATGGGAAAACATTTAACTCTCAAAACTGCGATTGGTTTCAGTCCAAACACTAACAGATTGTTCAAAAATATGCTTCTTTTCTAACTTTCCTGCAGGGTCTACATCCAACGTGTGGTTTCGGTGCTGTTTTCTATTAAATGTTAGTTTAAATCTTCTGAACACAGCATTCTCATTTCATTTTTGTGCCAATTATTATGGAATGAGGATTGTCGACAACCTATTCCACTGAGGCCAAGTGAAGACAAATGAGTCCTTTTTCTTCCAAATTATTCTTTCCTCCAATCTGAAGATTCATGGCCTCTAGAACTAAATAATTTTCACTGGAAACACTGACAGACATCTCAGCATGGAAACTCTGCCAAATTATATAAACAGAAACATCTGCAATTGTGAGAAAAATCGGAGCAGCTTCCCGGTCTCTCTGGTAAAACACACTCTTCCCTGATCCAAACTCAAATCAGCTCACAGCATGACTTTAATACATGGATGGTTTGAACTGTGGGAAAATTTTCCCCTAAATGAGCTTGAAAGCATTGTTTGTGGTGGCTAAACAACACGGTTAGCTGAGACTGGTTAACCTCTGGGTCATAAATGAGCTGCAACCTCACAGATGCTTGTCACTAAGCATATTGGTTTATGAAACACTTGGTGTTTGTCACATTCAGCTCTGCTGTTATGAAGAGCCCTCTAATTTACTTCCTTTTCTTCTTGGAAAATATGGACTTTGCTTGAAGTATCTTTCATGTTTGGGTATTTATGAAAAAAAGTAACATAGAAATCATTTTTATTTTATTCATACAATACTGTATTTTTGGGACTATAAGCTGCTACTTTTTTCCCAGGCTTTGAACCATGCAGCTTGTAAGAAGGTGCAGCTTTTCTGTGGATTTTTCCTAACTGCCAGAAGGGGAAGTAAAAGATGGAAATAGAACAATAAGAAGTCTAATTTTCATTTAGCACAAAAACATGTTAGCAGCACACACAATGGAGAACAAAGGTCCCTAAATTCAAACATTTAGCCATTTATTTGCCTCAGTAAAGCTGCCGAACCAATGAAGAGACTGAGCTCAACTCCTGCAGAGCTGAAATAACGAGCCAGCAAAGCCCCATCTTTCAGCAGAAGCTCTTATTGCTGTGAGCCAACAGGCTAACGGCTTATAGTGAGGTCCGCTCTATAATCTAGAAAATACGGTAAATAATTGGATAGGTTTTATGTATTTCACAGCAAAGATTACAGCAATTTACTGTAATTTTGTGTCTGTGATTTTCCTTTTTTTTTTTTTGGAAAGCCAAACTGTATTCTGTAACAGCTTTAATGACAAAGCAATTACCATCATATTAGACTACATTACTGGGAAATTACACCATTTTGATATACATCATTACAATAAGGCCATGCACTTTTACAGTTTGTGTTCCAAAAGTAATGTACAAGTTAACAGTAACCTAACAGTCAGGTTTTTGGACTCTGGAAGGAAGCAGGAGTACCCAGAGAGAATCCATACATTCACAGGTAGTACATGCAAACTCCTTGCAGAAAGACCCCGGGCCAGAAACCAAACCATGAACCTTCTTGCTGCAGGGCAGCAGTGCTACAAACTGCGGTAATATGCAGCCGAAAATTAGTACATTTACTAAGGTTTCACAATCATTGTACAATTACCCCCCCAACAAACAAATAGGTGAAGTTAATGATAACCCAAAGGTAATATTTATTAACAAAAAATGTTTTCAAAACACATTAAATGTAAGGAATTTGAATAATTCAATATATTCAACTTTCTAGCCTTAAAAACATCTTAAAATGCTAAAAAAAAATTCTGCAGGAATCGGCACTTCAACAACCTGTGTCATTCAGCTTTTCAATCAACTGTGTCACAGTAACAGTAGGAGGATTGGAATCAGGCCCACATGGCAAGATTAGAGCGGACGGGATGTTTAAAGGGGTCAGGCTCTGCACGGTTGTGTGAAAATCCTTTAGTTATTTTAAAAAGTACAAAAATAACTAGGATTCTGAAAACTTAGCCTGACAACTGCTGTTATAAAAACTATGATTGCCATCCAAAGTAAGTACGTGCCCTGGAGCAGCTGTTAATGAGCAAAGATCACCTGTCCCTTTTCCCATATCAAACCCTTGTAGACGTATAGTATAAACTTGTTGGGTCTTCCTCTAATACTTTTTCACCATACATTTTTATAGCCACTATTAGCCAAATGATGACGCCATAGCCCCATTATCCTAAGTAGCTTTGTCTAATACGAGGAAAAACAGTATTCAGGTGATGAAAGACTCATGAGAGGAGAATGAAGCTGAACATCTTTACTCGAATATTCTTCAGATCACTTGCATACCCTTTAACACCTGCGGCTTCTGTAAGGGTTTTAATGAATTCAGAAGTGTGAATAGCGATCCAAACATTTTACCGCTGTTCAGATTATGCAACTGTAGAGAATTAAGTGCAGACTTCTGTGAATGAGCAGAAAACTTTCCATTAGAACCGTATGTCCAGTGTCTTCTGGCTGCTGCTTTGTTTTTACCATAAACATGTCAGAACGGCATCAGATTTTCTTATATAGCTCTTATTTCCCACAGAGTCAAACCATGCTTTGGTTGCCTGGCAACGTAAGAAAAACAACCACACAGCTCTGTTGTATAAGAGCAAAAGAACTAAGCCAAAAGCCGCTGAGGCAGGAGTCCATCGTTCTCTGAAAAAGAAAAAAAAAATTTCATGGTACTTGATCATAAAGCATCTTCTACCGTCTCTTCTCTTGTCAGATCCTACCCCTCTACAACAAGCTGAACCCCGAGGCCTCCGCCTCCCCCTGCTGCGTCCCTCAGGACCTGGAGCCCCTCACCATCATGTACTTCATTGGACGCACGCCTCGAGTCGAGCAGCTCTCCAACATGGTGGTTAAATCCTGCAAGTGTCGCTGATGAGAGCAGAAAGGAGAACTCTGCAAACCGTCGTCTGAGATGGATCCTCTGTTTGATCCCTTCCTGGCAGACTGAATCAGACGTCAGGATTTTTGCTGCCTTATTCTCTGGAACTTTCCGTTTAATGTCGGACCCTGTAAATATAACTCCATAGGTTTGTTAAACATGTGCCTGTATATTGAAATTTAGGAAAAAAATCTTAGTTTTTTCCATTAGGATCCTGTCTCAGTGGCTTGTGCTGTGGGGGCCGCACCCAGACGTGTTTGTTTTACACTTAAAGGTGTTAATTTGAAGGCAGCTGCGATTTGAGGCCTTGCAGACTCTTGTAGAGATGGGAAACTGAAGGAGAAGCAGGAGCCGTGTCCAGGCGGAGGCATTGCTCTCTGCGGTCCCCAGGCTGAAATCTGCCCCGCCGTAAACAGGATGTGAAAGGTTTCCAGACACCGACCCGACCACTCACGGAACGCCAGATTTAAACGCTCCCCTCATCTCCTCTCTCCCACTTTCTCTGTGCCGCTCGAGGTTCTGGGATTTGTGGTGGGAGGAGAGAGGCAGAAAAGAGAGCCTTTGAAAATGAGATGTGGGACGATAGGGCTGCATTTGGAACGGCTACACGTTTGGAAGGCGGTAATTTGCAGCCGTGGCAAATTTGTAACTATTCAGGCCTGGCGCATGCGTCCCATAATCACTCCGCTTTTCTCATCATGCGTTCATTATTGTATTATAGAAGGATGCTCCCCCTGTTCTCCTCATCATATCCTGCTCCACTCTTTACCAGCAACCTCAGCAATTCACTCATCCTCTTTACATCCAACATCCACCTTTAATACAATGTCTAAACGATCGAAAAAAAAAAAAAAAAAAAACAGCTCCGGGTCTCATTTTAAATATAGGCTCTCTGGTATGCCAGTGGTTTATGTGTAACAAGGAGACCGGGTGTGTGTGTGTGTGGCCAAGTATTTGTTACCTTGTGGGGACAGTGTAAGGCTATTTTCCCAGGAATATGCTACTTTGTGAGGACTTAGTTGAATAGTCTTAAGAGGAAAGGTTCTCTTTTTGGGTCAGAGCTTAGGTTTAGATTGAAAGTGTGACCTGAGTTAGGGAAGTTAAGGAAGTGTAATAAAAAAAAAAGTTTTATTGAGGTTTATTGTGATTGTTTGTGGATCACATCTGCATCAGATTGTCCCACAGCAGGATATGTTTCTGTCCTGGCTGACAATGAAAGGACAGGAAGGAGTCCACTCATCACAAACAACAACAGCCAGTTATAGAAGTATTAAGTTATCCAGTGGTTTTCTGCAAGTCCTTCCACAGCCACAGGAAATACTGGTTTTCAGTTGGATGGCTGTGAAATTGTGTAAGCGGATGCATCCAACATGATCCTGGTCAACAATTTGTGTAACAGTGTTCCAAAACGCGAGTGCAGAGAATATTAAAGGACTGATCCACACAAACAGAAATCCAACAAAGCTCCAGACAGATGTTAATGTATACTCTCCCCATTATATTGGTATGTTTCATGTGAACTTCCTGGAGAAGACCTAGCTTTTAAAGATTCTGTCTCATCATTTTAACAAATATTTATTTAGTTAATTTCAATCATTTTTAAGTCTTTTTGTTCAGTGCAAATTAGTTTCGTTCAGCTTTTCTCAGATCATTTGTTTTAGTTTACTTCAACTCCATTAACTTTTTAGGTGAGATTGTGTAGCGGTTGGTTTTCTGGACCAGATCAAGGCCATGAAGGTGATGTCTCTTACTTTTCTCCACAAATCCATATCCATAGTTGAAGTCAGTTTCAGTTTGAGTCAGTTCAGTCTTTGAATAACTTTATTTGTCCCCAAGTGGTATTAAAAAATGGTTTAAAAGTCAGCTTAACAAATATGACACACATAAAATTTATCACACAGTGAAACAGCCTCTGTTCATGAAAACAATAAAAACAGGAATACATATGTTGTGTGATTTCTTCGTTTGTGTGGGTGTCCCTTGATTTGAGGTAGACTTCTCTTGTCAATCCACCAGTGTTACGGTGAAACAGTCCCACAGCCTGATGCTGCCACCACCATGTTTTCAATTCATCTGTATGTATTGCACATATACAGTGACTTAACAATAAAACATCTTTAATCTTAGTCTTGAATCCATTCTTTCCTCATAACAAAAATGTAGGCTATCTCCGGATGAATCTACTTTGTTCATCTGGCCACAAAAGGAACACATTTTTAGTCAAGGGTGAGGATTTTTCATGTTGTTTTAAGTGGGTGTTTCTTTCTCTGAGAATAGTTTTAGGGTCCATATAAATGCTAGACTTGCTTTAATGTGTTCATGGCCTCTGGTGTTCCAGTAGCTTCGTCTTTATGATGGGTATGTTTTTCTGGGCTGTTCTTCAACACTTTAATTAAGTTTGACAGATTTGATTTCAATGCTGTAGTGTGAATCAATAGAACAACTTAAAATAAAATAAATAAATAAAAAAGCACATTAAAACATGTTTTATAGTGAATAAATCAGGCTTATATACCCATCCTCAGCCTAAAGCAGTAGAAGAGCAGTTAGGCATCCAGTCAGAATTGTACTTTCTGAGAGACTTTAAACCACGTTATTACTTTACTTCTGGAATTCCTAAATTGTAATACTGCTGGTATACAGATATACATTAGGCTGCATGTACAGTAATATATTGGACCAGTACTGATAAACTAGAATCCAAAATCAATCAAAATAATGCAGCAAATTCTTGTTTTTTTTTCCCCCCAAAATGTAATTTTATTTTCCCCCTGGAAGAATATTTTTTCAAAACATTATTTCCAAACATTGAATTTGCATAGAATTATAAGTATTTTTCTGAATTAATTTAGCTAAGAAATATCTAATTCTGATTCTATATAATTCTGAAATAAATGCCAATTGTCTCATTAGAAACAGATTTGGAAGCATTTTCTGGAGTTTCATTTTCTTTTTATATTCTAAACTATTATTTTCATAGTTTAGTATTTCATAGTGTCTTGGGTCTTGAACTACAAGATAGTTTATAAATTTAAAGAGCGTAGACATACCATGTATCAGGAATCAGGTGGTTTTAATTTCTTTCCTCAAAATAAAAATCTGAAAAGTGTGGAATTCATACATATTCAGCTTCCCTGAAACAAGACTCAGTTGAACCATCTTAAATAGAAGCTATAGATAAAACGTTAAATGTCTTTTCTGGCTTTGGACATTTATAGACCAATTATTTAGCTCCGCCTATTTTTCCATCAGCTTTCAGCATCCTTGTGTCATAATGCTGCCACCACCATGTTTCACCATGGGAATGAGATGAATAAGGTGATGTGAAGTGTTATTCGGTCACTAAACACATTTGGTTTTGCCATTTGGCCCAAAAAAATAAATATTTGGTCTGATCAGACCAGACCTCTCTTCTCCCTTCTGGTTTGCTTTCTCCCCTGTCTGAACTGTGGCGAACTGCTCTTCCTTTAGGTGTATTTCACAATGGTTTAAAAGGCAAACATGTTGATGGCAAATAATTGTGCACAGAAAATCTCAACTAAGGTATGGATCTCCGCAACTCTTCCATAACCTGCTCCCATGCTTCCCTCATTAATTTTCTTCATGTTGAATCATTTTGGGTAGGCGGCCATGTTTATGCCTTTACAACTTTATTTATTCTGAGGTTAATTCACACACAGGAAAACCCAGTTTGCTCATCAGATAACCTTCCTAAGCAGTCAGGGAATTTGATCTTTTGATTTAAATCAATTTCAATGCAAAAGCACACCACGCTTTTCAGAATTTAAAGTTTTTGAGAATTTTGAAGATCATTTTTAGTTAATACAGTGCTAAATAATTTATTTTTTAATTTTTAAAAAAATCATTTTAGTTAAGCTGTTTGTTAAGATTGTGAATTCAGCCGCTCCCATTACCGAAGAAGGAGAGACTGCGACCTGAGATGACTCCAAAGTTAAAATAGTTTAAAGAGGTACCAAGTGTTTTGCAGCCATCACAGTAAACTTGTTTGTCTGAGCCACAGCAAAGCTCCATTTTCACTGTGTATAAATGTGTCTCATGAGTTGGGGTGTCAGTGCTTCAGCTGTGGTGAGGCTCCTTTTCCCCCCTCAGTAAACTAGCTCCAGCATCTGTTAGTCTTTTCCACTTAACTACCTCTTGTTATGTCCAACCTGTACTTATCCCATGATAGAGCTCCTTGCTTTTCTCTCTCACACTGGGTCCTTGTCTCTTGGAGAGGTGCACACACTCCGGTTGTTGACCTTTGCTTTCTCACGCACATCCTACGTTATTCAAAACAAAAACAAGAAAAAAAAAAACATATATTTGAATGTGTGCACAGACCCCCGGGGCATTAAGAGCACGCCCATACATGCAAACATACGGCTGCCATGATTCATGGGCCTGGTTTGTCACATAGTGACCAAAAATTTAAAGAAGCCTTTGATAGAGGCTGTAAAACATCCATAAAGTTTAACAGAAGGCAATTCTTTCCTTACGTGTACCTCATGGTTTGAGCTCACATTACAGGTTTGGATCAGACTCCTGGCTGAAGTCATTTTTATTTTTCAGGCAGCTAAATTCAATATACCGCTTCCCAGGGCAACGGAGCACACCATAAAATCCAGCTGAGGTTACACAAGCAGCGGAGCAGAACGAGACTCAGAGGTAAACAAAAGATAGCAATCTGCAGCCTCAGGATTATTACAGCCTTCTTGAGGTGGAGAGGAGGCCCTGTTACGACAGGAACCCAGTCGTTCCCTCTTTGCACAGGGGAGGGCGTCATTTCTGTAATTGAGCTCCATATATCCATGAAAGGCTTATTCAGTCAAGGAGTGATGTATAGTATTTATCCACCAAAATCTGATGGAAAGATTTACCTTTTCACTACATTAATATTGACTCATGCTTCTCCTGGTTTTCTATTTTATAATAGTAAATGGCATGTACTTATATAGCGCCTTTTTTCAGGTCAGGAGACTTGACCAAAGCGCTTTACACTACATTCATTCACCCATTCACACACACACTGATGGTGGCAAGCTACATTGTAGCCACAGCTGCCCTGGGGCTCGCTGACAGATGCGGGGCTGCCATACACTGGCGCCACCGGGCCCTCTGACCACTATCAGTAGACAATGCAGGTGAAGTGTCTTGCCCAAGGACACAACGACACTGAAAGTCGGAGCCAGGGCTTGAACCATCAATCCTTCGATTTCAGGACAAACTTCTACATCCAACGCCACTGTCGCCCCATGAGGAAAAGATCCCCTATATTCTAGTACTCTTATTTAAATTCCAGTGCAATCCTTTGTCTTAAGAAGTCCTCTCATTAAACAGTCTAAAAGCCACACTAGAAACTAACACTATCAATGGGGATATAGCTTCCCCACCTATCGAGGCAGTATCATGCTGTGGGATTGCTTTTCTGGAACCGGGTGAGCAATTTAAACGATAAGTGATGCAAAGATGGATTGAGCAAAATAAAGGCCAATCCTCTAGCCAAAGTCCAAATCTAATTCTGATTAAGGATCTGTGGGAAGACTTGAAATTTGATTTTCACAGAAGCATTTCTTTCAGTCTGACTCAGCTTGAGCTAGTTTGGAAAGAATGAATAAAATCTGAGCATCCAGACTCAAAAGATTTGAAACCATACACAGAGCAAATGTTATTTCTAAAAAAAAAAATGTAAAAAAAGGTTTTAAAACCAGCTGCTTCACAAGTCTGCACTACTTTGTGTTGCTCTGTTACATGAAATCCCCCTGAGATACATTGGGTTTTATAATGTGCTCAAATGTGAATAAATCTTAAGCTGTGTGAATATTTTGGCTTGAAAATATCCCTATCCTGTTATTGCTGCAATAACGTGTTCTTTCCCTTTATGTTCTCTCATTGCTGCTTTTGTTTATGTTTTTTTCTACCTTTCCTGTTTTCTCACCTTCCAGCTGGTCAAACACTCCTTCCTGCGTTTTGTTATAATTGATGGGTCTTCCTTCCTGTTTCAGAAGCTGCGCTCGGACAAAGGTTAGAAGTGAGATACGCATGATTCATAAACACCTACTGGTTTCCTCACCGTATTAAAAATATTTACTCAAATAAGAATCCATACTCTGACCTTCAGGGGGTAATTATGAAATTTATTTCATTAATCAACCTTAATCTGAAATGTCAGAACAATTTCTTGAAAAACTCAGGTTAAGATAATATGATAATCTAAAGAAAAGATTTTGATTATTTACATGTATTATATGTATTTATTGGTAAATATAACTTTGAGATTTTTATGTAAACTCAAGTCTCTATTTAGTAATTCATCCACACAGCCTTTGATTTCTGCCTTTATCCAAAAGCAGGTCGCAAAGATAAGTTCAGAAAGAACACAGAGTTTCTAAGTAAGAGCTGCCAGTTTGTTCTGGGTCAGGCTGTTTCATTCTTTCTTTCATGAGTCAAGCCTGCTAACCGTAGATGAACGTCAAAACTTGGACAGACCAAAGCAATGAGAGCTTCACCCTTTTGTTAATCTCTTTCAGCAAAGCAAGATTCAATATATTTAAATTTAAAATATTAATTGCAAAGGGAATTTAAATGTTGTTTAAACTAATTTGATGTGGTTGTTTTTTTTTCCAACAAGCTGTTTATGTTGATAGTTTGGCTAAAACAATGATTAATGTGATTAATCAGTTATTGAAATAATCATCACTGATTTACTAACGAATTAATCATTAACTCAAGACTCAAAAACATGTCTTAAACTGACAGAGCAACCCACTTAGAGCATTCATTATATCAAATGATGTAAAAGAAATATGTAAAGATTTTGCATTTAAGATGAAAAAAAAAAACACGTTTAAGTCTGTCAATAGGCTCTATCCAAAACTCCTCAAGTGGAAACGTTTTAGTTTCACCTGGTTTACTTTCGAAAAAAGTCCTCTTTAGGGAATTTTTTGCAATCCGATTATTAATCTATTTATCGAAAAATATAAGCTACAGAATAATAGTTTTGCAAAATAATAATTTGTTTTTGACCTAGTTGATAGCTGTAGGCAAAAATGATCTGCTGTAGAGGTCTGTCTTAAAACGGCTCTCGAGAAGCCTCTGACTGCAGACAATCTAAAAAGTATGCCCATGGTTGTCTGTGATGTTCTTTATTTTATGAAGAATTCTTCTCATAAAATCCTCTCCAGAGGTTCTACATGAGTTCCTAGAACTAAGCCAAACTTCTTTATTAGCTTGTTGCACATTTGTCAGGCATTTGCTTTGATACTGTTACCCCAGAGGATAATGACAGAAGAGGTCACACTCTTCACACACAAACAAACAGAAGATCAGCAGAATCTTCCTGCAAACACTGAAAGACCAAAGCTTCTGTAGAAGTACAGTCTGCTCTGTGACTTTTATTCAGGACTTTAACTTCTTCTCCCATGATGAAAATAGTGTTTTACTACATAATTGAATTCCTCCTACTAACTCAGACTTATCCCAAACCCAGTGGGAATATTTCATTTTCTTTTCCAACGGAACAACTGATTTTCTTTCAAAGTTCTATATTCTTCAAATTAGATGTGAGCACTTTACAATTTGCAAGCAGTGTTTATTGCATCGCCTACAAAGCAGGTTTTAAAATTAAACCAGCTGAGATCATAAACCCAGACGCAGGAAAAACAACAGCAGGAGTCATAACGACCAAACCTCTGATGTGTCTGGTTGCACCACCTTGCTCTCCTTCTAGCCAGCTGTCATCAAATAACAAAATATATGGGAGCCTGAATCTGAGGGTGGCCTCTGACTTATTTTGGCCCCAAAGGAGGGCATAATGCCACCATATCTTTGTGAACTAGATCCTTATTCTGAGTATGCAGGAACTGACTGTTTACCCCTCATTTACCAAGAAATTAGCTCACTCAGGTCCCTCAGGGTTCAAGTCATTACGCATCTCCTGCTTCATAGAGAATCAGCAATTCTCTACTGGTTTTTATGTGCTTTGCTGCACATATTTCAGATTTTTGAGGGTTCAAAAATATACTTGGTGCATATTTTTCCACGTGGGCTGACCAGCGAACTTTGAGACCAGTCCTCACAGATCTTATGTTAGACATGACTTTCAAATGAAGAAAACAAACAATAAAAAAAAACAGACCTTGCAGTATAAAAGCCAGTGTGGAAGGAACATAGACTTTTTACAAGTAGCTTTCTGAAAACAGTCTATATCTAGACTGCACCACATTTTTGCATATTTTGGGCCTCATGATGATCTTTCAGATCTTAATGCTTTAGCTGCTGAAGATCATAGCAAACACAAAAAACATAACATAAATATTGTTCATGTAGTGGGGAAAAACCAACTTTAAAGACAAAAGATAATATAGTGTTTTGTATGTGCAATTAGATACACATGAAATCTACAAAAACCTTGAGGTTTCCTATTTTTTTTAGGATATGCACTCATACATTACCAATTGTTCCTGTTTTTCTCCAGATGAAAAGATTTTTTGCCCACATATGAATCGGCACACCACTGTGAGGCGGCGACTCACTGATTATTTTGGGGGCAATTCACAACAATGAGAAGATTTTATGGTTTTACAGTCCTTCACAATATCCGTGTATGGTTTCATGATTGGGGAAAACAAAACAGTGGTTCCTTTATCCCTTACATGACATAAAAACCTCAGACATAACAGCCTGCATCCCAACACATGAATCACTGACAGATTTCTCCAGGTTATGAGCTTGTGCTAAGTTTCAAATATATTTCTTTCTTTTGGATTTTAACATCTTGGTTTTGTCTGATAAAAGCTTCCACACATTCTACTTCTTACCCAAGGATTAAAACTTGACTTTGGTCTTAATACAACCACAGCTTTAGACTATTCCATTAGAGTTTTTATTTGATAAACCGTAAAAGTAAAAAAATATATAATGTAGAAAAACAATTAATACCGGTACATGGCTTTGAGAAAATAAATACTTGACCTTGCTGTGGACGTCCTGTGCCCATTGTAAATCATATTGCATCGTGCAGCGGGATGCTTATCCTGTCCTAACAGGAAGCCGGTTACAGTTGATGGGAAAATTGAAGGAGCTGAATACGTGGAAATATTGAGAGAAATCGCATTAGGAGGTAGAAAAAGATTGGGCCAGAGGTTCAGCTTCCAGCAGCCCTCAACCTCCAGCAGGAGCAACAATGGAGACTGTAATACCATATCAGGAAGGCAAAAAGGTAAGAGGGTTGTGCAATGAGAAAGTGGTGGAGTGTGTGGTAGGATGGTCAGATAAAGTGAAGGGGGAGAACCAAGGCCTGGTTGACAGATTAGGAGTGCTTGTCTGCAATGATGACATTGTAAAGTGGATTTATAGACAACCATAAAACAGAACATGGATATATATATCTGGAAGTAAAGAAAGAACCAAGACATAATGAATGAGTGGAAAGGGACAGAAACAGGTGTGACGTTGGTTTAAATGCAGTTAAGCACCCAAGTTAACCATCCACAGTGCACAAGAGGTTTCAATAGCAAAACAAAATAGATAAAAATGGTTCTATTGCCTTTAGAAAAAGTTTTGGCATCAAAAAGTTAAAATATAAATACTTGGTTAATAAACTAATAAATGGATAATAAATCAGAGATAGAAGCAGTCAAGAATATTGCTTTTTAAAGCAAAAATTATATAAAACAGAAACTGCTTTTCAGACGAAAATATTTTCAAAACTCCTACTTTAAGATAATCTTTAAACCAGTAAATTAACCAAGAAGAACATCAAACCCAACTCTTCTATTAACCAAGTTGAAAAACAGGAGGGATGAGCAAAAGCTGCTTGTCATCCTTTTATCTATTTGAACACTAAATAAACCTTTATACAAACGTACAGTACAACAGTTTTAAGGGTTGAATAAGAAACACACTATCAGGTGCAAATATACAGTTTATTTCTGGGGCTACCATTTAAATAAATGGCTGCCATATTGGTTGCTTTGGTGCAGGTTTGAATTTAGATTGCAGGAGAGACACTTCTGTGTGTTATCCACAACTTGGCAAGCTCAACATCAGAGTGAATGTAATGATAATAAGTCTTCTCCCTCATCTATACCAACAATGGACAAATAATTTGTTTTTGTCTGAATGAAAAACACAAGCTGAAAAAGAGTACGTATTGTTTCATTATTATTCTGTACTTGGAAACAACAATAGAACAATAGAACTATGTGTGATGGAATACGGATAGAAGTAAAAAGATATTAAAATTAATCTATTAAAATTAATTAAATTTGAGGCTTTGTTTGCATAGCGAGTGTATGTTTTTTTTAAATTTAGACAGAAATATAACAGTCTGCATCAGATTTAAACAGGAATAAATCAATACACTGTGTGCCAGCAGGTAACAGAAGACTGTCCCTCTGGAGAGGTAAAGCAGATTTTAGGCACTTACTTCATTAATGACCTCCAAGGAATTAATGATTCAGTTTTGTCAAGTTATGTCATGAAAACGTTGGCGGTATGCCATACGTACAGGGTCCATCAAAGGCCAGGATTTGAGTCTGTCTGGATCTCTGATACCGAAAGATCTGAGGAAGAACAGTCTGGAGGTGGGGTTGGGGGATTAGAGGGTGGCTGCAGGCTTGGCCTCCTCAGATGCAAGAGGCTCCATCCGGGTGACAAACCTTTCTTCATGCTCCTCCGCTTGGGCTTATGTGGACGTCTCCTTTTCTCTTTGCTTGCTGTTGGCTCAGTGAGGTCACTCAGTGTGTCTGAGGACTCATCAATGTAGGCCAGGGTTTCTCCAAAGAAATCCAGCAACTGACAGTCTGGTGAAGAAGCAGCGGAACCCTGAGGGGAGGGAGGGTGTAATTCAGGTGTGTGAGGGTGGGGGCAAAAGGAAGCACTCTCAGCGAGGGATTGACTGCAGGCACTTGTAGATTCCGATCCAGATTTCTTTAAAACCATTTGGTCTTTTTCCTGTTCCGTAACTGCTCCCACACCCCCATCTTCCCTGTGGAGGGGATGGGGGAGTTGGAGACTGTGTAGCACTGAGAATGATAAGGACTCAGGTGAGCCATCTGACCTGGAGTCAAATGCAAACTCAGATCCAGAGAGGGAGTCATTCAATATGGCAGCAGTTCTGGAGTCCAGCTCTGAAGTGGATCGGGCCACAGGAAGGGAGAAGGATCGGGCTAGAACCTGATGACATGACCTTCCATGTCCCTGAACACCAACAACAGCATCCGCTCTACTTCCCAGCGCTGCGTTTGGGACACCTGCCTCTCCGCTAGCCCGTGGCCTGGGCTTGGACATCGCGGCCCTCTCTATAGAGGGCGGACCTTCTAGCTGGCACAAGGAACTGGAAAGGCCCGCAAAGCGGTTTGGCAAGTGTCCGTTCTCGGAACCGCCTCGAACCCAGTATCCCAGGGTGCCGTGGGCTCCTCGGCGGATGCGGCGACGTTCGCTGCGTTTCCATCGCCGTCGTTGAAGGAGAAATGGGTCGTTGAATTCCAGGGGGTTTGGGATGCGGAACTCCATGTTCTGAGTCCAGTCTGTGGCGTGGGCCCTCAACTCCTCCATCTGAAAGCAACAAAGTAAAACAAGTAAGGGGAAAGAGAGAACATGCTTAAAGTCTGCCTTGAGAAAGCTTCCTGACCTTAAAAGATCTCACCTCAGCGCGTGTCCTCTTGGACAGAACCCTCAGCCAGTTGCCTATCATTGTCAAGATGGAGGCAAAGTACGCCAGACCAAACACTATCCACAGCAACACCAGAGGCTTGAAGATCGTTCCACCTTGACCTGAACAAAGACACAGGGCTTAGGATGGTTTGATGTAAATCATTTCCAAAAAAAAAAAAAAAAATATATATATATATATATATATATATATATATATATATATGCTTCTATCCTGCCTGAAAGGGTGCAGAAGGAGCCAGTATCATCACAGTGCTATAATTTTCAGTTGTTGTATTTGGGTTCTGTATTTCTGCTTACTCTGAGCCTGGTTCTGCTGGAGGTTTATTCCTGCTAAAAGGGAGTTTTTCCCTCTCCAGTGCTGCTACAAGCATTCTAGGTGTGAGGGATTGCTACTGAGTCAATGAGTGGATGCAATCAGCTGGTTTTCCTTAGACAGAAAAAGTTGAACCAATCTGACTGAATTGTCTCTGTGAAGGGCCATGATATGACATGTGTTGTGAGCTGGAGTTACGGTACATAAATTGAATTGAATTGAATAGATTATCACAACTGCTGCAGTAGGAGGCAACAGGACTTCTCTTAACATTTAAAAATGTTTTACATTTCATCCAAAAGGATTCTTAAGGATTCATAGTCAGAATAACCTCTTAAATAGAGAGATTTAGGTCATTAAGGACAAAAGTCACTGGCTCTATCCTCTATGCCGCTAAATGTTTGAGCCATAGTTGCTTGGCAATCCAAACGTGTCCCTAACTATGCCATGTGAGTTGTTTAGCCACACAAGTGAAGCATGAATGTGCTATAAAACGATCTGGCCAGAGAATAGGTGTTAAAGGGAAGAAATCTGAGGTAATCTACTCTGTTCAGTGATATTTTCCCATTAAAGAGGGCTTCTTTAAATCTTCTTTCTAACCAGAAATGTTGGAAATCCATATTTTACTCTTGAGAGAATTTCTCAAGTTCTCCAGATGGAAATGGCCTTGAGTCAGAGCTTTCTTTCCCATGATGGGCCATTGATTTTTGTAGCTGCTGCTTGTCTTCAAGAACCATAAGAAGTCCCATTTTCTTCTATTAAAGCACATCATAAATATTCACTAACAAATAGTATCTTCATTTCTGAAGCTCCTTATTTTTTCTTTTAAGACTGATGCTCTGAAGGCAATGGTTGTCCTAACCTCTGAGGTTTTATTTTACATGTAACATACCAGGTTATAAGTTCTTTAAGTTTTCCAGTGTCTGTGTAAATCATCCTTCCCTTTAACATAAAAAATGTTAATCACCATAGCAACCTGGCACATGCAGGTCAGATATAGCAACGTAAATATAAAGCCTGGAGTATTATTGGGAAAAAGGAAGCTGCTGCTGCATTGTTCAACAGTTATCAGAAAGGAAAAATATGTTCTTTCCAGCTTGATAGGAGGGTATTGAAGTCTGGGCAGCATGAACACAAGCCTGCTGCTAGAGACATTGTTATAAAACATGGGGATGCAGGTTAGCACCTGGTACGTAGTCTCCAAATCCAACAGTGGTAAGGGTGATGACCACGAAATACAGCGACTCCAGAAAAGACCACTTCTCCACTTTCTGAAACACCACTGTTGGGACTGCGAGAAAGATCAAGCAGCCAATAAGGATGGAGAGAACTGCTGACATCACACGCACAGTTGTGGGCCGGATCTTACGTTTCTGCAGGAGAGGTGGCAACAAACAATGCAGATTTAATGGCATTCAATAACTAGGCATACACATTTATACAGGTTAGGCTTAAAGGTGAACATCATTAATGTTGCCTTAAAGCTCAATTCTCGCGTTAACAAAAACATGAACATTCATCGTGCCCCTCACCTGCTTCAACCGTTTGAGACCGACCCAAAACAGGTTGGTCATGTGGGAGTAATATGGTTGAAGGTGGGCTACAAAGCTGTGATGAAAGT